CCACCATGTCCCACGCCTCCGGCGATGCCATCATTCAATCAGTAAGTGTCATTTGCCTGTACTTCAATGTCCTGTGCCATTTCCCTTTGGACATCCAAAGTCCCAAAGTGCGAGCCACCGCCAAACTGGGTAGTGAACCTCTCGGACGGACAATGTGGATGCTGTGGGGATTGCCTTGAATGTTAGCACAAGCCACCTCCAATGCAACTTGTTTAGAACGTGCCATATACCAACCATACTTTTCTGAGCGTCAGCTTAGGATCCATCGTGTCCTTTCAATCAATCCTTAACCAAGGGAAGGGGCCCGACCCCGATAATGAATGACTATGAATTCCATACATGCAACTCAGTTATAACCTAGCATACTACGAATTGCCCGTACCATGTATTTTAAACGCTTAGCCGATCCACATGTCTCTTCACGGCACATGACCGACGTCAATCAGACGCCGACGCTGTGTTCCGTGACACACGATTGTTATTCAAAATTGCATGCAATCGTTCGAGGCGCAGCTCGCCATGTGCAATCAAATGATCAGCTGCCAAACGTACACATGAGCAGTTTTCTATAGTAACACTGCAGCTATAGCCTAAGCTACTGAGTGCCAACGGGCCAGCTTGCATATGCATTCTTCAGGCCTTCTGCAGCTTGCACTTGCTTCAAATTTGAAATATTGAGGCCGCGGCGGGCGCCCGCCGCAAGATCGAGAGCTAGCGCGTCTAAAGTCAACGTACTTATCATGAGTCATGCAATCATTAATAAAAATGTTATACCGTCTAGACAAGCTATAATGAGATACATGTCGAGCCTGTATACGGTCTCAGTACGTCACGCTACTATGAGCGTACCTACAAACCACATGGAACTTATTGGCGGATTGCTGCATGTTGATGTAGCTACGTATGCAATACAGATATGGAGTATAAAGATACGCGGTACATTGATGCAGCTTAAGCTAGCTGGCGAGCATCAGGCCGGACTCCAGGAGGTACGAGTACGTTGCCATCATCAACGGTAAGTGGATTCACTTTCAGAACTTTCACAGCGGCCCTTTGACCAAGGACTTCTCAGAAGCGTCTCGATTGAAGGCAACTAAGTTTCAGTTGCGAAAACAGGTTTGCGTCTCATTTCGAACGCTCTCTCTAGCTTAATGAGCTATATACTACGTAATGTGGCACTTCAAGGGCCCGTTTTGGCCGGCAGTATGACTGAAAACGTCTCCTGACACACATTGAGTCAATATTTGTCTTGGGCTTACCTAGTGTTCTCTAATATCTCCATTTCGCAGGTCAATCGACTCGATTGTATATTTCTAAGACTCAATTGATCCAGGCTTATGCCTGTTTACAACGTTTCTCAGCTGCTATACATTTCCGCCCCGGGCCCCATGCCACCCGTGCTCCCCGTGCCACCTGTGCTCTCCGTGGCCCCTGTGCCCATGTTTCCGTCCTTCGAAGTGCCCTTCCGACTTCCACCCCCAGGCCGACTCTCGCCAGGGGGACAACGCCGGGAAGTAGTTCGGCCGAGGCGCCCTTAGTCGCCGGCTCTCCAGCGGCGCCTCCCGCCCGAAGTGCTGCGCCAGTCGCTGCAAACACTGCGACCGCCGCCGCGCATGCTCCTCCGAGTTCCGGCTGATGCCGACGCTCGACACTTTCGACAAGTCCACCCGCAGGTTCGGCCGCACGTACTCGATGGTCGTGTGCTCCCTCGCCCTCATCCCGAGCACGTAGTTGAGCGCGAGGTCTTCGCAGTTGAACAGGTCGTCCACGATCTCGCGCACCCGCCGATAATCCTCGCTGAAGTAGAGCGGGAACGCGGTCTCGCTGTCGAGAAACGCCGCGCCGGTCAGCACCACGTTATATCGCCCCCGCTCAAACGCGTATTGCTCCCCCCGGTAGGTCAGCGGCTTCCCGTCGGCCAAGCGTGGGTAGTAGCCCACAATCCGCTCGGGGTGTCTGCGCCAATGCGCAAAGCCCCGCTCGAGGTCTCCGCACGACATCCAGACGTCGTCGTCTAACTCCATTACCCCGCGATTACGGATGAGTGGGTCGGGCCTGAACCGGTTGTTGAGCGAGTTGACTTCCTCGGCCCGGATCCGCAGCGGCGCTGCCGAGTCAAACTCGGTGAGGTTAGGCACTAACCCGTGGTTCCAGATGATGACAATCTCGCCCACTGAGGAGCAGCGCGAGTAGTGCCGCACAAACAGCTTAAGGTTGGCTATCCGCGCGTCGTAGCTCATGCAGAGGAGGGAGAACTTGGAGAACTGGCCGTGCACCGGGTACGGCATGTTGCTGCTGCTGTTGCCCAGCAGCGAGTAGAACAGCTCCCCCACCCCCAGCACCAGCAGCCCCGAGCACACCAACACCGCCCCCAGGCACAGGTACGCCGTATACCGCCGCCACTGCGCTCCGCTCGCGCCTTTCCCCTTGGGCAGCAGGGGCGGCCGCAGGGTTTGCAGGCTTGGGAAGGGCCAGCACAGCAGGGGGGAGGAGACAAGCCGGTGGGTGATCCCACCGGAATTGGACCGGACCAGGCCGCCCTTGAAGGCGGCTACGTTGTGGTAGCTCCCGTTGGGGCTGTAGTGCCCGGACGGGAAGTGCCCCGGAAGCGCGCGGTGCAGGCCCCACATGCGGCGCAGGAGCGTCTTGGCGGAGCGGTGCAGCGGGACTGCCTTGCAGGCCGCGAGCAGGAGCGTGTTGAGCACGCAGAAGCCGATGGCGCACAGCAGGCCGCGCAGGAACACGCGCGACTTGGCGCCCGACGGCACGTGGTCCCCGTCCACGGCCGCGATCCAGTCGCCCGACGGCAGCCGCTGCACGTCTACGTGGTGGTGCCGCACGCCGTTCCACAGCTTGCCGCCCTTCTGCGGCGGGCCGAACCACGACACCTCCGTCTCCGCAAACTCGTCCGGGCTGAGGGCATCGATCCGGAACGCGCGCACCGCGCCGCCGTATGTGATCCCGCAGTCTTGCCCGAAGCGGTACAGGTTCACCCCGTCTGAGAAAGGGCGGCCCGCCATGCGCGCGCCCATGCTGCGGTCCTCGTACAGGAACGGGTTTTGACGGTGGGGCTCCCAGGGGCCGAGCGGGGAGGACGAGTGCCAGATCTCGAGGAACGCGTTGCGCGCGACGCCGGGGCGGGTCTTGTCAGCGGAGAAGAGGTACCAGGAGCCATTGTGGGACAGGAGGGATGCGTCGACCATGGGCCGCTTGAGCACGACGCGATCAAAGGCCCAGCGGGTCGGGAAAGAAAGGGCCCTGTACAGGCGGAGGTCGCCGTGGGAGCTGCCCTCGGGCATCATGTAGATCTGCAGGGAGGGGCAGAAAAAGGGCCTTTAAGCAAGCGCAGTGCTGAGGTTCGCAAGTAGGGAAGTACTCATCGGTCTGCGGCAATATCGGTGCTCCAAGAGAAAAGTTATCTGTTGCACAACATGATCTGGACTTGTCAGCACAAGTACTTGAGGCCTGAATCCCTTGAAACTCGAGCAAGGACAACGACAAAGTCCGTCCATGTACATTCGACCCTGACGTTGCGAGTCATTACCATAAGATGTCTCAAAAGCGCCCACTCCTCAAACCGAATCCGACTCAGAAATAAGACGTCGAGATGCCAGAAACCTCACGACCAAGCAAGGACTCTCCGAAGCAAGAAACAAAAACAGGAGAAGTCAAGCCGACATATTATTTCAAGAATTACACTCTCAGAGCCCGTTCACTGACCTCGCCCTCATGCTCGAAGACGAAGGGATACGAGAGGTGCCACGGCTCGTCGAGCACGACCGCCAGGTGCTGCCACGATGCACCCCCGTCGCGGCTCTCGGCCACCCCGATGTCGCCCTGCTGCGTGTCGCTGTTCTTGGTCTCGTAGAACAGGTAGAGCACGCCGTTGCTGCCCTGGAACAGGAACGGGTCCGCCACGAAGTTGCTGGGAGCGTCCGACACCGACGCGCACGTCAGCACCGGATTAGCCACGGGCCACGCAGCGGCCGTGTCGATACGCGGGACCACCTGTCAAGGAAAAGGTAGTGAGGAGCCGGTTAGCCCCCACTAGTAAACGCTCTGGAACCAAGTGCGGGTCTACTTAAGTGTAGAGCATGTATTCTGGCTTCAGCCTTGACGGCCGGACGGCTGACTTAGTTCGTTACTCTACCAGCACAATGAGATGGATTCTGGGATTCAGTGGCTGGATTTAAACTCACTCGAACAGGAGGGCAAATGATCACCAATACATTGCAGGCAACAAGGGTTGAGATATAGAAAACCCTGCGGAAAGAAAGGGCCGACTCAGATAAAGACAGCTGCTCGAGTGTAGAGTTGAATGATTGGGTGGCAAACAACGGACGCACTGACAAAAAAAGGGCATGCCACCTTCTTTCCGGTATGAGGTCCAAGGTTCCCTTTCACTAACTTCTCCTTGTTGGTAAGCTGACCATGACGTGATAATGACTGGGCGGTCTCAAAGATTGGGTCACGCTGACCTGAACCGAACAATGGCCAGTAGCCTCCTACCATGAACCAACAATCTTGCAGGAAACGTTCCTCCTAATGAGAGTCGCCTTACCTCTTACAGCTCTGGCACGGGTTGAGCCTCCTTCGAATCTCCTTTTACTCTTCATTTGAAAGAGAATGAACCACTTGGAATAGACTTGACAACTTCTCCACTCAACATGAGCTTCGGATAAACGTCCACCTCTCACCAAGTATTTCATTTACAGAAGTAATTGATTTAGGAAAGTGTTCATTCAAGCCGGAGAGCAATGCAGCTCACATTTTCCAGGGGCACGAGCGCCCACGGGTGGGGACCCTTATAGATTCCAATGCTCCAGCTGCCCTCCCCATCCTGGCGGCACCCTTCAAGGTTCCCAAAGCTCGGCCAGGCGCCCCAGCCAGGCCCAAGCGCTGTCTCGAGGGCGATGTAAAACGACTCAACCAGCAGCAAGAGCAGGAAGAGGCGCGAGGGACACAGGAGGCTGGTGAAGCACGACGACCCTGCCATCATAAGAGTGCGGGGCTGGCCGGCAATCTGCAGAAAGCGGAAAGTGTGTTGAACAGAGACGACTAGAGACCCTCTGGTAGAACAAGGGGCTGATCAAAAAGCTATTGAACGGATGACACGACAGAAAGAAACCGGCCAGAAGAAGAGGAAAATTCGTGATGGTACGCAAAAGTACAGCTCACCAGGGGCAAGCTGAAGGAAATCAATGTGAACTTCATCAAGAAGTCGATGCAGCCAAATGCTTTGAAAGAAAAACCCTTACTCAGTGAACAGTGCTGGCAAAAGCAGGCCTGACATCAAAAGATAAGTATGAGGACCCGAGCAAGGCTGAAGGTAAAAGTGGTAGCCAAGCAAGATGCATTCTGGTAGAGCGCGCATTCAACGTCTACTTCATCACAAAGCGGGTCCCATCACGTCTTAGTGAGGGCCTAACCACAGGAGGACCAGCCAGAGGAAATCTTCGACGTGCACGGATAAGAATTTCGGATTGTTTATTTCGTCCAGCGCCTCATGTTGCGAACTCACCACAAGATGAATCTCGCGAGCAGGCAGCTACACTGCTTGAGCTTGCCAACCCTCTATGCTCCCCCTGGGCTACCAGAGGAACGCGTTCCCTGCATCAGAGAGAGCATCATCAGCAGGCGGGGGAGGAAGATAAAGGGTGAGGGTCGGAAGTACAAGCGAGCCCCTTGTTTCCAAGCAGCTGAAATGCAGCGGTCTGGAAAGCTGTGCAAGCATAACCTTCCGTCAAACCATGCCCTTGCAATGCCCTTCTTTCTTGCAGAATCTCACAGCAAGGTCTCGCTCTTCCTACTATTTGGCAGCCTCATTGAGCCTACTGGCAAAGGGAGCTGTCATCTGGAGGCGGTCAGGTGGAGGAGCTTCAAGCCTAGCCCCGCACTTGCTAGCAACCCGCACCGGGGCACTTTTGCTCAAAACAAGCAGGACCTCGATACTTTCTGAAGCTCCCAGAAAGACGTCGGCGGTGGTTCCACACAAGCAGGGCCTCGATTCCCTCTGAAGCTTCCAGAAGGACAATAGCGGGAGGCAATCAGCTGTAAGCTTGACCACCACCCACCGCACGCCCCAAAGCCAAACGTTCGAGCGCAACTACCGCTATCTGCAATATTCCGGTTCATCAGAATAGCATGCCATTTTATGTCTAAAAGCGCCAAAAGAAGGCTTGCAACGCCCAGCAAATCCTCTGCCAGCTGAATATTGTTCCTAATCCGCAAGTGGGCACCCCAACGGACCATTGAAGGCGCATTTTCATGGAGCAGTAATCTGAACTAGCTCTCAGTGTCATCTTGGTTGTAAATGAGGAGTGCTTAAATTCAGAAGCCTGTGAATGTGCATTGCTGGAACCGCGGTTGGTTAAACATTGACCAAGTATTGTCCACTGGGTATGGAGCCTCCTCTTCCTGGGGCAAGAAGCAGGGAGTCGACCGTGAAAGAGACAAGAATGGGAGCTTCCGTTGCTGCCGGTCAACTAAACCATCTTATATGTTAAGATGAACCAGCAACAACCAACCCAGAAACAGATTTCTCAAACAGCCACTCAAATAGAAAGACTGCCCTGTAAAACGCTTGATGAAGCATGGTAAAGGATGCTCTCTTACCCAGCAACACCAACTTGCGGAGGTACCAACAACATTCAGCCCGAGTCAAATAGGTCAAAATCAAGCCCTCAAACAAAGGTTGTGGAAAATGGACGTTCGTAACTCACAGTAAAGGAAAGTTGCGGGTCACATAATAGATGCCTCGCAAATGCCTGAATATTCCCCCAGGCTCCAGCCCTGCTACTCAACCCAGTCCACGCTCTAAGGCGCTAACAACAAACGCAGGCGGATTGGACCCTTTGCTTTTTATGGAGCCTCCCCGGCTCAATGCAACGGTCCATAGTTGGGCAGCTTTGCAGTCCTTCTGAAACCAGAGTTTGCCAGGCAATTGCCTGGTCCAAGTGGGTTCGCACAATTTCGAAGCCTCCTGTCGCATGCCTGGCACGAAGTTTGCCAACTCTGAAACTGCCCACCAGGACAAATGCATTTCACCTCTTCCAGTGGAAGTTCCCACGCAGACGCTTCCAAAAATTCCATGCCAGCGTCATGCCAACTCTGCACGGGCGAAAGCTTCGCGCGGTCTGTTTCTCGGCGCTTCGAATCTTCTGTTTACCAGGTACGGTAGTAGCAAATGCCAAATGCATGATGCTCTCGGTACGCCTGGTGTAGGTTTGAAGTCTACCACGGACACCACCCGGGGATGGGCTTGGACATGGGAGATGCCAATCGCTCGGGATCATACCCTGGGCGTATGGTTGGCTTTTGCACATGCCTTGCTCTGCTTCCATCCCATCGACCGGTACACTGAACTGGACCAATGCTTGGTCCCCAGAATCGAGATCCACCCGGAGGTCCATCGTGAGTCGGTAACGTTCCCAAATCCGATGTGGCAATACGGTCGCATACCTACCGTACCACGGTACCTAGCACTGCTAGCAGGTAGGTATTACTATGGGTACGAGCTCCATTTTTATTGGGCCGGTTCGGTTGGAAATGCTGACGTTGTCCAACGGAACCGGCCTTTACATGGCAAAGTTGCGGTCCCTCGCGATTCGCGGTCCGATCGGGGGTCATTGTCCCCCGAAAGTTTGCACAATCTCCCACAATCGAGGAACCGAGAACAGCGTTGACCAAAGGACCTCGGGAGTCGGGAGTCGTCGGCACTCGGGAGTCGGGTAGGTCCTTTCAACTTTGGTCAACGCTGTTTCCGGTTCCTCGATTCCCGGAGCTTGTTGTGGTCTGATGTGGTCCGGCAGTGCAGACCGGAATACTTGCACTGCAAGACTCAGACGACGTCACTGTTCTCCCGTAGATAAATATTCGCAAGAGGGGGGTCGGCACTGCTCCAGACCGGGCCAGCCCAGGCTTTGGAAGGCCCAACCGGCGCCGTTGGCTTGATGACGTGTTCCCAACCAAACCGGTCCGATGTAATGGTGCTCTTATAATCTTGACTCTTGGACTCTGTACCTACCTAGTACCGGTAGTACGAAGTTGTTCGCTCGGTAACCGGGACGTCGGCTCTGTTGACGTCGGCGCAGGCTTCGGTGACGTGAGCCTAGTGCGTGTGGGATCGAGAGATCCTCGACAAGGGTGGAGAGAACCAATGTCCACCGCACCTACCTATTGTCAGGGGCTCGGGCGATACTTCTCGATGTCATGTTGACTAAGCGCATGTTGACTATTAAAGGATAGTGCTCGGGGGCACGAACAAAACTAAAAATCTAAACCGATAGATGGAACCCAGCTCCGCACCCGTACCCACCCTAACTCCCATACCAACCCTACCCATCCCCCGGGTGCTTTCCCTTAGTCAATATGCCCTAATAGTCAACATGAAATCGAGACCTATGCTCGGGAGTGCGCATGGTGTGCAATGCAATACGTGGTGGAAACTTTCGGCGTCGAAAGTTCAGCTAGCTGTGAAAACTCGTCACGTACAGTACCAATTGTCAGATCCGAGTTGGGGTAGGCAGGCAGGAACCGGTTGCCGAACTGAGCAATTCGACCGTCCGATCGATCGGCGAATCTTTGTTAAAACTTGAAACCGTCACGGTGACCATTTCAGCCGCCGCGGGTACAACTTCAAGCCGCCGCCGCGGCCGGGGCCCGGAGGCCGCCCGCCCGGCCGCCTGCGCGCCGCGGTTAGTTAAAAGGTTTTAGGGTTGGGGCCGACCTTCTTCTGTCTTTGAACTCGGACGTGGCGTACTAGGACACGTAGGTAGGTACATAGGTAGGTAGGTAGGTAGGTAGGTACCGGTAGGTAGCATAAGTAATCACATCCTAGTTGTGACTGGCCATGGCCACAATCACAGGATGTAACTGTCTTCTCAGTCGCCGACGCTTAGATCCAAATCGTGTACCATGAGCACTTTGAGTAGGAGGTTGCAGGTTTAGGAAACCTGAAGGGTGACCTTCGAACTGACTGTCTTCTAGCTGACGCTCTTGTACCTTGAGCGCTTCCGACGAGTACGAGATTGCAGGAAGTTTGGGAAACCTGAAGGGTGACCTTCGAACTGACTGTCTTCGAGCTAACGCTCTTGTACCTTGAGCGCTTCGAGTGGGAGATTGCAGGTTTAGGATACCTAAAGGGTGACCTTCGAACTGACTGTCTTCTAGCTGACGCTTAAATAAGACTCGGAGACGATCAATGAATAAGAATGACTCAGTGTATATAAGTCAATGTAAGCTTGTGCAAAGAAGCATCTTCGACTCTGTTAAAATGCATGAGTAATTTGAATTCTCTATTGTGGTGCTTGGACATTCCATTTTCATCATTCCATAGCATGCTAAATATTCATACCATCATGTTGCTTACATGGATTGTCGAGCCTTATAGCGTAGACCTTGAAATTGACTTTGCGTTCCATCAGCCGCTCATTTTACATACGCCTAATGTAGTATATTTAGCCATGCAAAGCATATTTAACACACATCTCAAGAGATCTAACCAGATCCAAGCTTTTTACAGCGAGTGCCTCAACAAATCAATAGGCCGCATCAAGCGCATCTATGAGGAAGAACGATGCACAAGCATGACCCTTAAGCTAGGCAAAATTGCAGGGTTAAAAGGAATGTTACCGCCTCATAGTATGCATGACCTGGTGAAAGTCGTACGCTTGGGGCTCGAGCAAGCCGGAGTAAAAACACACAGATGCCGCGATCCAGATCACCTTCTTGTAGAGTGGGGAGATGTGCTCAAGGAACCCACACGCCCGCAAGTTAGGTTTGACAAGCATACTAAGCTTCTAGAGTATGCCACAGCAGATGGCAAACCTCGATACATTTTTAATGGGGACCGTGGTGCGGCAGTTCCGATGTTGGATTTAATGATCAACCCTTTAAAGTGCTAGTGTCAGTAGGCGTATGTTAGGATGTCATGCACGATGGCTTGCTGCTTTAGAATCATAATGTAACGATTACGACTGGTTAAGCCTAACCTCGTTCTCGACAGGATTTTGTAACGATTACGACTGGTTAAGCCTAACCTCGTTCTCGACAGGATTTCGTTGACCTGCGGGTTAGCGAAACGGCGGTGGTTACGTCTTAACGACGCACTGCGTGGCTGTCTGCAAGACGGCGTAATATCCCGGATGGATCGGCTTCTGTGAGCTGATGTCACCGTTCAGGATAAGTTGTGTTCGGCTTCGCCGTTCGATGCAGCCAAGCTTATCTGTGCTCTGCTCAGCTTGCGTGGCTGGTCTTGTCAAAGGTAGTGGACAAGAGAGAGCTATACGAATAGCCGCATAATCCACGTCGTATGTAGAGCTGTGTGCTATTGATGCATATCTAGTCACATCATGTA